CATTAGCTCCTCCATACAGGCACCGTAGACAGTTCGATAAAGAACTTTTCCACATGGTTCACGGCTAGTGTCGCTTTGGATGTTGATAGCATTCCTGTAGAAAACGGGATTAAGGTAGTTGCCGAAAATAGTAGTCTCAAATTCTCCAATTTCCAGCAATATGCCCTTTACCGCTACGTCGGGATATGGCGTTCTGTTATAGAAATCATAACAGTTGTTTTTTAGGACCAGATCTATTTGCCACTGTCAGCATTGTAGTGATGTCTTTTTTGAAGTCGAAAGGATTCGTGGTTCTCGGATAAAATATGTATCGCCGAGATAAGAAGGGCTGTGAGGATACAGGGATGCCCCCGAGGTCACGACGCAGAGCAGGATTACAGTGGCGGAGCCTTAAGTGCCAGCGTAACCACAACGCTGTGTTAAGTAAGTCATTAAATTCTTTTAACCTTTCCCAATTGTGCAAATAAACTTTCTTGTTACCCCCTTTTCAGTCGTGATGCTACTGAATTGCTTTTTCAGCGACTACACTAAGTAATATTAAAATTTACACCCCATTTAGCTGTAAACTGCTACCTAATTCGGTAGTGGTCATGCAAACTAACAGTAGTCATCACGTAAGTGAAAAGAGGCAAGAAATTTCCTCCAAATTCTACTAAATTTATTAGCTAGTCTACACCCCGATAACGGGTAACGTTATGGAATATTTCAAGGTTTCCTTCTTGACATCAGCTGAACATGGAGCTTAAATCAAGGGGGTTTGCAATTTGCCGACTAAACATGTTGATAATGTTAGTATTTCCTTTAATAAATTTTTTTTCTTTCACTGCCAATCTCTACTACTTTTAATGCGGCCAAGGGTAGTAACCATTTCCGACATAGGTGTCTGTGCGTCAGTTTTTCGTTGCTTCTTCTTGGCAAAAGGCATAAGAACAACAGCAAAAACCAACGATTGAGGTAGTTTACAAGTGACAGGACCTATGCATTTCCGCCTGTGTAGCTGTGAAGGCCTACAAGACTCATAAATGACCAAAAGGGATATAGAAGAAGAGGGAAGTGCATACTTGTAATGTTTAGGCAGTCTGTATTTAGTTCGGTAAGGACGTTCAAAATTGCAAAAGATGCCGGTGACCTTATTAGTATCATTGTAAACATGTCTGTTGGTGTCTTTCTCAAAGACACCTCAAAAAGTTGTCAAGTATTCACAGTTGTCACCTCCTGGACGTATGCAAGTTGCGGAGTCTGGTTGAAGCTGGAAGTTTTGCCTGAACAACTCTCTCTCGACGCAGAATTTGACAACTGCTTCCAGTGTTTAAAAGTTAACTGCTTCACTATTTTAGCTATGAGTTTTACGTAAATGAAGATCGGATTTTCTTGCTTAACCCACGTGTCACAAATATGTGACATGTGCTTTTTCACAGAGGCTCCTCCACTCGCGTGCCAAACAGACTGGATGGGATTAAATCAATGAAAAAGATGTAGGATATGCTTAGTCAGAGGAAATTAGGCACATTTTTTCATTATCTTAGTTTCTAGTGCCTGTTTCCCTCGGACACTCTCTGCAATTAAAAAGTATTTTTTTAGTTCTCTCTTAATTCTGTTCTGATGATAAGACACGTTTTGAAGCATCAAAATTCAATTGTCCATGATGGCCTCTGGGTTTTGGAACAATCTACACCCTGTCATAACTTCCGATCATCTTTACCAGGGTCAAGTCGGCACTAAACCTCGCCATTATGGTAACCGTTTCCAAGCCTTAGGTGGCGAGAGTCACTTAGAGGGAGCCTTAAAAGTGGTCTAGCAAACTCCTGCACCCTCTTTCATAGTCTTTTAATTTAAGCTTCTTAACTTCTTGGCATTCCGGCCTCATAATCTCCCGATTGCGCAGTAGCTCATTTATATGGGGCCTTATTCAAGTCCTTTTGGATATGTAGGCATGCCGAGAAATGGGCTTCGCACCGTCCGTAGCTAGAACAATGCGGATGTGACATGGCCAAAATAGGAAACAGTGCCTATTCAATGCCTGGGACTTGCTTATCCCCGAGACAAACACGATTGGCACACGAAATGCGCTGGGTGGAGAACGTGGTGCGGTCCAAGTGATTAACAATGGGTTGCCGACAGTGGTACGCGGAATGCGTAGCTAATTGTAGAAACAGGGAACGGCGCTGTAGAATTACTGATAAAACTAAATAAATTCCATTTTTAAATTGGTCCAAAATGTCAAAAATTTAATCTCGGTAAGAGGTGATACGTGCGACGCCGTCACAATGACCCCGTGACCTTGCTCTGGCAAGGCCGCAGCACCCTTCGGAAGGCGCTGGATGGGTAAAGTGGAGTTGCTGATGATGGGATCTTGCTATTCATTCCAAATTCATCTCTTAGTGTTCAAAATTAGCCTGTCCTTTTAAAGAAGACCTTAGTGGATTGCTCTACTCCACTTCGACTGCTTCAACAGTTACTCAAAAGGCTCTTCATGAATCGGTGACCCGCCCGTATTTAATCGGTCCATCACATCATTTACCCACCCATTGCTCGCCATCATCACGAATCTGTCAACCCGCGTAATCATTCATTTTCGTCCCTTTCATTTGCTCAACCATTCATTCACACAACCGTCACCCTCTATGATCTCTCCAACTAGCCTTTTACCCTAAATTCATTCTCTACTTCTATTATCAACTTATTTACTGCAATTTTCTCCCTTCTCGGACGGCTAGTAGAAGGTGATTTGGAAGTTGAGCTACTGACCAAATCTAAGCGCCCATCACTGCGATACCATGGCAGTTTGATTAATCGGTTTAGGAGATCGTAAATGCGTTGGGGACGCGAAAAAGATGCCTTGTAAAATTGGCTTGGGGTCGAGAACCCAATTAGGTCAACTTAAGGTTTCTCTTTGCTTGCCAGGTAATTAGGTCAGGTGTAACCATCACCTCTACCCCCAAAATCTCAAAACAACATTTTTGGACCTCTCCACCTGACTAGCTGTTAGATTTTCCCACATCTATGGGGTACTCTAATGGGAATGGCACTGCCACTATGCAATCATAAACCACAAACGCAGTACGCGTCTAAAAATTACTTTAAATGTGATTCCTCCCAGCGTCACACATATGTGACACGTGTAGTGGTTCCACCGAAAGCATATCTTCCATGAGTTTTGGCAATTGGCTTACCTTGGTGACTAGTAGCGCAGTTCCATTATTTTTAGAACAATGGATACTAAGGTCCTTTAATCATGTAGTGTTAAATACCCGATCCCACTCCAGCTGGCTGCAGTTAGATTAACCCGTGAAACGGCTTTCAAAAAAAGGAAAAGATTGCTTCCAATTAAGGGGACGGCATTTCAAGCTGGCTGCGATAAAATTAATTATGTTTAAGAGTGCTTTAGAACGCCTGAGTTTTTTTTCCAAAACTTTTTCGCTGTATTTCGTGTCATAACTCTTTCCCTCCGCCACAGGGACCATGGCGACTTCGAAGATGACGTCATTCGTTGGGGTCAAATTGCAGAAGTTGGACCCGGAAAGGAGTGTTCTAAGTGCCGCTTTTTTGAAATGAATTCTTTCGATTCATCAATTTTTGACCGAAAGGGTAAATGATGGCACTTTATTTGGAATGCGAGAAAGCGGAGAAAGCTTTGCAAAAGTCGGAGATTTTTGGCAGAAAAATCACCGACGGTTGAATTATACTGATGGATAAAGCAGTGGTTCTAGGGGAGTCTGGCATTTGACAAAATCAACTTTATCCATGTATAAGTCATTTAAGAATAATACATGAGGAATTTCACACATTTCAGTGCTTTTAACCGGCTTCCTCCCAGCCCCAAATTTCTCACCTGACCCACTTCTGACGATGTTTTCATCTGCTTCTTAAAAAACATCAGATGAACAGCAGTTCAAGTGATTAAAGTACATTTGGTCATCGGTGGTCCAGTGCCCCCCGAGAACCCGGTAATGGAGCCTCGCCTTTGCGTCCACTGGCGGATGATGTGGGCCAGATTTGGGACGCCTTTAAAACAACTATTCCGACTTCCTGGCTATGCCAAAGACTCATTTTGCATCTTGGGTGTGTCTTTCCCTTCCTTCTTCCCCATTTTATGGGAACAAGATTCTAGAGGCTCATTTTAGGGTCATTTTAATAAGCATAAATCCCGCCTTTACATTCTAACTGGTACTCTAGTTTAAATATAATCTTTTACTTTTAATTTCATAATCTCACGAAGATGACATAATTTGATTTCTCTTTCCTCCTAGTAATTTGAGTTAATTTTTAAAATGCAAAAAAGGTTCCCCAACACTTGATGAAATTTTACTGTCACGGATCTACATTTTTTTTCTTCTTTCCTTTAGTAAGTCTTTTTTGCATAAGTTTGAATGTTGCGGGTTGTCACCGCGCATTCGAAGAGTCAATGCTACCAGCTGATTATCGATTTTTGCCCTCTTGGTCGCTGCAAAAGTGATTATGTGATGTGATTTTTAAAAGCTCGCCTACAAGCGTGTGTGCGGAGGTGCGCACGTGCGGGCCAACCATCGACCGTTGGGGGTTTGCGCGCACACTGCCACCGCATTGATTCGCCTCGTCAGTCCTGCACACACGTTCGCACCGCAGGCACACAGCGAACCAATGGGAGACCGTGGACATTGCAGTATTGTTGGTCAGGCGGGTTCATTGCCACGGGCCGCCTATGCAGAGGTATAAAACCCTGCTCCCATCCTCCCGATGTGTAGACGCGCGGTTGGCAAGCCTCGGATACTACTGCCACCAAACTTCCTCGACTGCTCACTCTTATTCGTGCTCTCGGTTCCCTCGATTCGACTCTTCTTTTGCACTGTGCGTGCTCCATTCCTTTCTTGGATCTATTTTATGACAAGCAATTTCCTCTTCACTTCAACCTGATACCTTTTGTTGGGTCTTTCTTTTAGAATTCTTCTCGATTGAAGACTGCCGAAAAAGAAGACACTGCTACCGCTGATTAAAAATCAAAAGAACCAACACCAACAGCAATGGACCCGTCTGATCCCGATTTCGAATACCTTGGTGTAGACCGCAAAGCCCTCCTGAAGGAAGCCGAAGCTGGCAGCTTCGACTCCAAAAGCGTTGCCTGGGTGGAGGATGAAAAGGAAGGCTACGTTATGGCTGATATTGTGGAGACTAGCGGTGATACGGTCACGGTTAGGCTTAAGGATGGAAATGTAAGTCCTGCTCTCTATCCTTTCATCCGTCCCGTTACCCCTTCTCTACTTTCGCCTTGCCTTTCGCTAGACGAAAAAAATCAAGAAGGATGACATTCAACAAGTTAATCCGCCCAAATTCATCATGGCGGAGGATATGGCTGACCTGACGTACCTCAATGATGCCTCTGTGCTGGAGAATCTGCGTGCTCGTTACTATCACAAGCTTATCTACGTGAGTTCGCTACCACCACGTCTCAAATATGTGACATCATGTATACTCCATCCATTTATGCGTTTATAAGGAGACAGGTGTTATTTGCGTTCCTGGTTTTGACTAGCAGCACTCCATTTTGGCTGCCCTTTCCACACCGAAGGATTCTTTACGTGCGTCATGTTGTTCTAGACGTACTCCGGTCTGTTCTGTGTCGCTGTGAATCCCTACAAGAGGTATCCGATTTACTCCTACGAGGTTGCGATGAAGTACAAGGGAAAGAGGCGCGCTGAGATGCCACCTCATCTTTTCTCCATCTCTGACAACGCCTACCACAACATGTTGGCGGATCGTGAGAACCAGTCCATCCTGATTACGTGAGTTTTGACTTCGGGTCTTCCTTGCAGCTGTGTTTGCGTGTTTCAGAACTTCCCATTCATCCCCCCTTTTTCTCCTCCTCCTCCACAGAGGTGAGTCTGGTGCCGGTAAGACGGAGAACACGAAAAAGGTCATTTCGTACTTTGCCTTTGTTACCGCCAACCCTGCAAAGAAGGGTGAGGAAGTGGAAAAGAAGGGTAGCTTGGAAGACCAAATTGTTCAGGCTAACCCTCTACTGGAAGCCTACGGTAACGCCAAGACAAACCGAAATAACAATAGTTCCCGATTCGTAAGTTCTGCACAGATGGCCCTCATCTCCAGTCCGCGTATTCTTCTGTCTCTACCTCGTACCTCCTCTCCTTTGTTTAGGGTAAATTCATTCGTATCCATTTCGGCACGACGGGAAAAATTGCCGGAGCTGACATTGAGTTCTGTAGGTCCACCCTCAACCCTCTTTCTAATCATCTCGACTTATTTAGATCTGCTGGAGAAGTCTCGTGTCACCTCACAAATGAAGGGAGAGCGTAACTTCCACATTTTCTACCAACTGCTCTCCGACTACGGCAAGAAGTATCACGGTAAGTGGAGCATCTTGAGTTAACCTACTGTTCAATTCCATCCACATATTATCCGCCTTTATTTGACTTTCTCTAGACAAGCTTCTGGTTTCTGCCGATCCTGCCCTCTACTCCTTCATCAATCAGGGCGAGCTTACCATCGACGGTGTGGATGACGCGGAGGAGATGAAGCTCACTGATGAGGCTATTGATATCCTCGGTTTCTCCAACGATGAAAGGATGTCGCTGTTCAAGTGCACCACCTCGGTTGTCAATATGGGTGAAATGAAATTCAAGCAGCGTCCACGCGAAGAGCAGGCTGAAGCTGATGGCACGGCTGAGGCTGAAAAGGTCGCCTTCTTGTTGGGTGTCAACGCCAAGGACCTGCTCAACTCCTTCCTCAAACCGAAGGTCAAGGTCGGCAACGAGTTCGTGACTAAGGGTCAAAATCTTGATCAGGTCAACTTCGCCGTCAACGCTTTGGCTAAGTCCCTCTACTCGCGTCTCTTTACTTGGCTGGTCGCTCGTGTCAACAAAACGCTGGACACTAAAGTGAAGCGCCAATACTTCATCGGTGTGTTGGATATCGCCGGTTTTGAGATCTTCGAGGTGAGTTATTGGTGAATAATTTGAGGCGATCTTCCACTGAGTTGCTGTCTACTGCCTTCATTGCTCTTTTAGGAAAACGGTTTCGAACAGATCTGTATCAACTACACGAATGAGCGTCTGCAGCAATTCTTCAACCACCACATGTTCGTGCAGGAACAGGAGGAATACAGGAAGGAGAACATTGAATGGACCTTCATCGATTTCGGTATGGATCTGCAAGCTTGTATCGACCTGATTGAGAAGGTGGGTTCTTCAACTTCTGCTGAGGCTCTCCACTCTCAGGGAGACAAACCATGGCAATCCTTTTTTTCCTTTCATCTACTCTATAGCCCATGGGTATCATGTCCATCTTGGAGGAAGAGTGCATGTTCCCCAAGGCTACGGACCAGACCTTCAAGCAGAAACTGTACGACAACCATCTCGGTAAGAGCCCGAACTTCGCGAAGCCCAAGCCTCCTAAGGCTGGACAGAAGGAGGCTCACTTTGAGCTTCACCACTACGCCGGTTCTGTAAGTTTTTTTTCAGGCTTTGAAAACTTGAAGTATAATTATGTGATGAGATGTTGAAGCGTCCCTTCTCTCTCTCAGGTGCCCTACAACATAACTGGATGGTTGGATAAGAATAAGGATCCACTGAATGATACTGTGGTGAATCTGCTGCAGGAATCCAAGGAGACCCTGGTTGCCCACATGTTTGCACCTCCTGAAGGTAATACGAAAGAGGAAAGTCATACCTTAATCCCGTTCCTAACACAAGACCAAACTAGGCCCAATAACCACCCTACTTGTATTTATTAAGTAGTAGTTGACCTGTTGTTAATGTTTATGCTTTGGTGCTGCCCTAGATGGAACCAAGAAAAAGAAGTCAGGCTCTTTCATGACCGTTACCTATACACATCGGGTAAAGACGGCTTTTCATTTCCAAATGCAGTTGCCCGCTGCACTCCTCGCACGTTGACTTGGGTCATGCTTTGAATTATTAACACTACAAATCGAATGGGTGGACTGTGTGGGTTGGGATTAAGCAGTGCCCGCCTATTGATAATGCATTGTTTTAGCCATTTAACCATCCTTCCTCCCTGAAAACAGATACAGGCACAAAGCGAAGGAAAGGCGGTGCCATGCAAACCATTTCTGGGACACACAGAGTACATATAAAGGAGCATAAGCCATTTGTGTTGTTCCCTTAGTCCAGATTCTTTGTTGATCGTACTTCCCTAGTTCAGATCTTACGCGTTCTATCGTTACTCCATTCTATTTATCGTAGTCAGATATAGATCAGGTGGCACAATGCCACACCGGATACAAGAAAGATCTTACGGTGTTTTGTGGGGAAAGCATGCGCATGATCTGGATGGTGCATGTTTGCCTGCTCGCCTGCAAGCAAACGGTACGAAAATTGATCTTCTCTAGTGATTTTACTGAGGTTTATCCCCCATGTCTTCCCCCTTCAGGAGTCTTTGAACAAGCTTATGAAGAACTTGATGAGCACAAGCCCAAGCTTCATTCGGTGCATTGTGCCTAACGAGTTCAAACAACCTGGTACGTAGTAACCATCTCACAGTTCATCTCTACTGATTTTAATATAAGTAGCAGTGGGTTTATGTGGTTGATTTTCCTCATTTCAGGTGTGATAGATGCGCACTTGGTGCTGCACCAGCTTCACTGCAACGGTGTGCTTGAGGGTATCCGTATTTGCCGCAAGGGTTTCCCCAACAGAATGGTCTACTCCGAGTTCAAACAACGGTAGGTTTCGACGTCCGGCTTTTTCTCATTTCTCCCGTCTAGATACTCCATTCTGGCACCTAATGTTATTCCTGCCGGATTCGTGGATGGAAAACAGGTGACTGAGAAGATCCTCGACGCCTGTCAGCTATCAAAAGACAGCTACCAATGCGGCAACACTAAGGTCTTCTTCAAGGCGGGTACTCTGGCCGAGCTGGAAGACATGCGTGATGAGAAGTTAAACAAGATTATCTCCAACTTCCAGGCCCAAATTCGAGGCTACCTCATGCGCAAAGAGTACAAGAAACTGCAAGACCAGCGGTGAGTTTGATTCCTACTAAAAAATTCTTAATGAAGTCCATTAAGTCGGCATGGTTTTACTTTATGTATTGACAGTACCGCCCTTGCTCTAATTCAACGCAACATTCGTAAGTACTTGATCCTGCGCACTTGGCCGTGGTGGAGACTCTACACCAAGGTCAAGCCGATGTTGAACATCGCTCGTCAGGAAGAGGAGATGAGGAAGGCCGCTGAGGAGTTGGCGAAAATGAAGGAAGAATTCGAGAAACTTGAAAAACTGAAGAAGGAACTAGAGGAGCAAAATGTGACCCTTCTTCAACAGAAGAATGATATCTTCCTCCAACTCCAAACCGAGCAGGATAACTTGGCTGACTCCGAGGAGAAGGTGTCCAAGTTGATCCTCCAGAAGGCTGACATGGAACAACAGATTAAGGAATTGGAGGAACGCTTAAACGATGAGGAGGACGCGAGCAAGAATCTTGAGGAAGCCAAGAAGAAGCTTGCCGCTGAAATTGACGAGCTGAAGAAGGATGTTGAGGATTTGGAAAGCACTCTACAGAAGGCCGAGCAGGAGAAACAGGCTAAGGATAATCAGATTAAACAGCTCCAGAGCGAGATGCAGCAGCAGGAGGATCAAATTGCTCGTCTGAATAAGGAGAAAAAGGCTCTTGAGGAACAGAACAAGCGCACTACTGAAGCTCTTCAAGCTGAGGAGGACAAGGTTAACCATCTCAACAAACTTAAGGCCAAACTTGAATCCACCCTTGACGAGGTCAGTTAAAAAGACTAAATAGCTCACAGAATCCCTGCTATGTACAATACATAAGAGATCGGTTCATTTTCTAGATGGAGGAGAATCTTGCCCGTGAGCAGAAGATTCGTGGAGATGTTGAGAAGGCAAAGAGGAAGCTTGAGGGTGATCTAAAGTCCACCCAAGAAAATGTGGATGACTTGGAGCGTGTCAAGCGTGACCTTGAGGAGCAGCTGCGTCGTAAGGATGCCGAGATGGCCAACATGGGAAGCAAAAGTGAGGAGGACCAGGGATTGATCAACCAACTCCAACGTAAAATCAAGGAGTTGCAGGCTCGTATTGCCGAACTTGAGGAAGACTTAGAGGCTGAACGCGCTGCTCGAAGCAAGGCGGAGAAGGCTCGCCAGCAGGTTCGGTATACTGTCAACTTTGTCTCCGCTTTTTAACATCTAGAAAATCTGTCATATCTTACTTGATTACCTTTCAGCTTGAAGCTGAGCTTGACGAGGTCTCCGACCGTCTTGAGGAGCAAGGTGGGGCCACTGCCGCTCAAATGGATCTCAACAAGAAGCGCGAGGCCGAGTTGATCAAATTGAAGCGTGACCTCGAGGAGGCTCGCATTCAAAATGAGCAACAAGTGCAGGCTTTGCGCAAAAAGCAAGCTGATGCCGTCAACGAGATCACTGACCAACTCGACCAGGCTACGAAACTCAAAGCCAAGTGAGTGTGAGGAAATTTATCCATGGTTGTAGCTTAAATAGACTCAACCAACCGGTGGTGCTTTCCGCATGTATGTCGAGTCAAATACTTCGAACAAACGGTGTCAACTTCGAGGTAGGACCATAGGGTAAACAAATCTGATCGGAGCACTTTTTCTGATGGGAAATTTACCCATCTCTCTATTTGTAGATGTCATTAATGAAGGATTGCCAGTTAGTGGTGTCTAGGCTTTGCAAAAAAAATAAGTTTTATTTTTAAGTGGCATAATGTACAAAGAACATGCGCCGTTGGTGTTCCTGTATTGAGTACCGCCAAATACTTTCTAAGGCTGAGTAAATGCTGAAAGTTCATCGGAGACATCTCTCCACTCCAGGGTAGAGAAGGAGAAGGGTGACTTGAAGGCCGAGTGCGACGACCTGCAATCCCAGATTGCCAACATTACCAAGCAGAAGATGAACGCGGAGAAGAACTGGAAGACCTGCGAGTCCCAGCTGGCTGAACTGCAAGCGAAATTGGACGAAACCTCTCGTCAGGCCACCGACGCTGGCTCGCAGAAGGCTCGTCTCTCTCAGGATATCACTGAACTGCAACGCCAGTTGGAGGAGGCTGAATCGCAGCTTGGCCAGTTGTCAAAGGCGAAGCAACAGCTGGCTAGCCAGTTGGAGGAGGCCAGACGCAATCTTGACGAGGAATCTCGGGTAGGTGACTTATTAAGCAGTTGCAAAACACGGATTAGAGCATTTTCCTCACTATATACCCGTTGCCTTTTTAAGATAGACCTTCCAATTCGTTAGTTTCGGTTGAACCGAATACATATGTGTATGGTTCCGCTCCTCTCCGTTGGTTGATATGCTCTGGAAAGTGGCCCTAGAAAAGGGGATCCCTAGTTGTTTAATCCAACTACTTTCACACGGCAACGACGATTAAACATTGCTAGAAATGCTCTGTGAAATTAGGTCACCCTTTCTATGGTACAAATGTTGAAGCTTTTGGCAAAAGACTTTATTTTGTTATTTTCCTCGCCCTTGTTTTCAGGCTAAGTCCAAGCTGACCTCCGAGGTTCGTAACCTGACCTCCGACCTGGATGCTCTTCGTGAGTCCCTCGAGGAGGAGCAGTCCGCCAAATCCGACATGCAGCGCCAGATTCAGAAACTGCAGTCGGAACTGGCTGCCGGTGTTGGCAAAGGCCAGGGCGACATTAAGACCGAGGAATTCGAGGAGATGAAACGTCGTCTCACTGCGAAGTTGCAGGAGGCCGAATCCGACGCCGAGTCTGCGAAGCAGAAGTGCAGTCAGCTGGAGAAGATCAAGGCCAGATTGCAGGGTGAGATTGAAGATCTTATGGTCGATGTGGAGCGCGCCAACGGACTGGCCAGTCAACTGGAGAAGAAGCAAAAGAACTTTGACAAGACTCTGGGCGAATGGCAGGCCAAATACGCCGAGTCGCAGGCTGAGCTGGAAAATGCTCAGCGTGAGGGACGTGGCTACTCCACTGATGTGTTCCGTCTGAAGGCCCAGTTGGAAGAGGCTAATGATCAGATTGAGGCTGTCAGACGCGAAAACAAGAACCTCTCTGGTGAGTGCCTTCCCCCATGGTCAACTTGTCATCATGAATTCAATAATTTTGCGTTAATCGTTGTTGCGAGCACAAATTCTTCCACGTTCTTCAGTGTATTTGTCCTCTGATGGCTTTCTCTGTGGGTCATAGTTTCTGTGCTTTATTCCTAGGCTGCTAATCGTACTAGACAACTTGCATATACGTACCTAGGTGTATTTACATTTGCGTCTCTTCCTCTCCTCCTCCAACAGACGAGATTCACGACTTGACTGAGCAGCTTGGAGAAGGAGGTCGCTCAGTCCACGAAGCTGATAAGGCTCGTAAACGTCTTGAGATGGAGAAGGAGGAACTTCAAGCAGCTTTGGAGGAAGCCGAATCAGCCTTGGAGCAGGAAGAGGCGAAGGTTCAGCGTGCCGCTCTGGAACTTAGCCAAGTCCGCTCCGAAATTGACCGCCGGCTAGCAGAGAAGGAGGAGGAATTTGAGGCTACACGCAAGAACCACCAGCGCGCAATTGAATCGATGCAGGCCTCTCTGGAAGCCGAGGTCAAGGGCAAAGCGGACGCGATGCGTATGAAGAAGAAGCTGGAGCAGGACATCAACGAACTGGAAGTTGCGCTGGACTCCGCTAACCGTGGACGCGCTGAAATGGAGAAGAATGCGAAGAAATTCCAACAACAGGTTCGTGAGATGGAAACTCAAATGGAAGAGGATCAACATGTTCGTGATGAGCTTCGTGAGAACGTTTCAACAGCTGAGAGACGAGCTCAGATGCTTGCTGGAGAGCTGGATGACCTCCGCACCCATCTAGAAACCTCAGAACGTGCTCGTAAGGCTGCTGAATTAGAACGCGCTGAAGCCTCTGACCGTGCTTTAGAGTTGACAGCGCAGAGCGCTTCCTTTGCTGCCATGAAACGCAAAATGGAGGCTGATTTGGCTGCCATGCAGGTGTGTTCCCGCTCCTCGTTAAATTACTCCCTCACATGGCCCAATAAAACTTTGTAGTTTTAGATGCACCTATGGGTGTGAACGATACGATGAAGTGCTCTTTAGAAGTCTTGCAACTAGTTCCAATTTATCATTTACCACACTCATTTGATTCACTTGAATGTGTTTAGGCCGATCTTGAGGAGGCAGCAAACGAGGCCAAACAGGCGGACGAGCGGGCAAAGAAGGCAATGGCCGACAGCGCTCGTGTCTTCGAGGAGGTTCGTCAAGAGCAAGAGCACACCCAACACGTCGAGAAGGCTCGTAAACAGGCCGAGCAACAGGTGAAGGAGCTCCAAGTTCGTCTGGAAGAAGCCGAGGCTAACGCAATGAAGGGTGGCAAGAAAGCCCTCGCCAAACTGGAACAACGCGTTCGCGAACTCGAGACCGAATTAGACGCGGAACAGCGTCGCCATGGCGAGACTCAGAAGAACTATCGCAAGATTGATCGTCGTCTCAAGGAGGTCACGATGCAGGTACGCCCCCCCACCCCCAACTTCTAGGAGGATGTCTGATTTGTTGGACGCAATTTTATGGTGATGAAATCAGTGAATATTTCCAAGCCATTTTTCTATTGTTTCAAAACCTTTCAGTGGGTAAATTGTTGGCTTTTCTATAGGCGGATGAGGACAAGAAGAACTACGACCGTCTGCAAGAGTTGGTGGATCAACTTCAGGGCAAGATTAAGACGTACAAACGACAGGTGGAGGAAGCAGAGGAGATTGCTGCGGTGAACCTGGCGAAGTATCGCAAGATCCAACACGAGGTGGAGGACGCTGAGGAGCGTGCTGATCAGGCGGAGCAGGCACTGCAGAAGCTGCGTGCCAAAAACCGTTCCTCCGTTTCCTTGTCCCGTGGACCTAGCGCCACTCCGGCTGCCGGTGGTCGCACCGTTAACTCGCACACCGCTCGTGTACGCGCCATGGCTGCCGTCACCGCGGATCATGAAGAGGAGGTTTGTTTCATCATCATGTAATCCCTTCAGAACAGTTCTTCTTATCTCCAACACTGAATGTTAGTTACATTACAGAATCCCCGGTCATCTCTGGATAGCCAGCGAGGCCTTCCAATATGAAGGGAATGTTTATGATTAGCATACAGAATGACTGAGTGGCTGTAGGTATAGACGAGGTGGCATGAAATCGAGGCAGTGATTGAATGACAATTTTAAAGAATCATATAAAATCATTATTTGTTGTTTCCCTTTTTAGTAAATCAACTCCATGAAACGGTCCGTCAACGAAACACACTAATACCCACATACAAATGCCTACACTACACTGCACTCTGAACAGTCACCATCCGCCCCGTCTCCCAAAATAATTGCTTTCGTGTAGACACCGTGAGACCGCAGCAACTTTCGCAAGTATCTTCCACCCTCGGCTTTTTAAACCTCTGCTTCCCTCCACTTCACTTCACTCAGCTCCGTTCCGTTCCACCCTATCTCCTTGGCTAGGTAGATGTGCCCGCTGACTCACGAACTCCCTGACCCGCCTCCTCCGTCTAGGAGCCTACTTTTCGCCATCAATTCATTCTCGCCATCCTTCTACCTGTCGCCGCCGCCGCCGCCGCGTTTGTTACTCATCTGGCTGATAATAGTATTTTCGTGATGATGATGATGGCGATGATGAAGTCTCAACCAATGAATAAGGAGGAGGAGGAGGAGGAGGCAGTAAGGGAGGTGTAAGAGGAAGGAGCACCAAGGAGATTCCCCCCTCTCTCCCCTTGGCCTATTTAAATCACCCATCCGCGCAGTCAACTGTCGATTATGCGGGCGTAGGTGTGTGCGTGTGTATGTATCTACGTGCGATGTTCCTCACCTCTTTCTCCCCGTCTTACCTTCTTTCTCTCTCCTACACCGTCTTTTTGTCTGCCTTGCCGTCAGTAATGGCTATTATTACACGACCATATATATGCATATATTAATTAATACATGCTATGCCTTATTCCATTCGCCTCTGTGCGTGCTCATTTCGGCCAGCGGTGGATTGTGTGAGTCCAGTGGGGCTTTTGCCGCGCCCCTTCGAGGCACCTCCAAGGACGCGATAAGGCGCACAAGCCCGGAAGGGTAGCGAGTTCGTAAACACTAATAATGAAATCGCCTCCCGTTAGATTGCTGAGTAGTAAGGCAGAGTTGTTGAATGCAATCCGTAGCTCAGGTGAAAGACGAAGAATAGGTGGAAAGAGGTTTGGAGAGGCATAAAATTTGCTTCCACCGATGTGCTTGTTTCAAAAACCTTTGTTATCAAGAGTTGTAACGACGCACCTGAAGGGCTTCGTTCTCTTGCCAACTGCACGACGTGGTAGAAGTTATTTCCATAAAAAATTGACTGCTACCTTGAAGGAATCGCATATGGAGAGGAGAAATCAGAGGAGGGACGATTTAACCATTCAAGTTCGGCTCAGAGAGGGATGGTTGCATGAATACAGGATGGATGGATGGGTGGATAGGTGGATGGGGATGGAGGATGGTGATGGATGGATGGATACACGACAGATAAATGGATGAATTTATGGATGGTTGGATGAATACAGGATGGATGGAAGGATGGAGGGATGAATGGATAGGTGGATACAAGATATGGATAAATGGATGGGTGGATTCGGGATGGATGGATAGATGGATGCAGGATGGTTGGATATAGAATGGATGGATGGATGGATAAAGGATGGATAAATGGATGGATGGAGGTATGGATAGAGGATGGATACGGGATGGATACAAGATGAGTGGATATAGAATGGATAGATGGATTCGGGATGGATAAAATGAATGGATGGATGGATACAGACTAGATGGATATAGGATGGATGGATATAGGATGAATGGATGTATAGATAGATGGATTGATGCAGAATGGATGGGTACAGAATGGATGCGGTATGGCGACAGGATGGATGGATGATTGGATGCACAGATGAATAGATGGATGGACAAATCGATGGATGGATGCAGGATGTATGGAAAGAAACAGGATGTATGGAGGGATGGATGCTTGACAGATGGATATATGGATACGGGATGGGTGGATGTATGGATGGATGAATTTAGGATGGTTGAATTGATGGTTACTAGTTAGATGGATGAATGGAGCGGGATGGAAGGATGGATGGATTCGGGTTAGATAGGTGCTGTATGCATGGATGGATTGATGGAGAAATGGGTAAATGGTTGAATGTATGGATTAATGAACGAATCATTGAATGGGCCGATGGTTGCAAACGTGGTGGTTGGGTGCACTAATATTTTTATGGGTGGATGGAATAGTGAACGGCTGGTTAAATGATTTGTAGGGTAGATGGTTACGAGGATGAATACACGATGGCGGATGGATAGATGCATGTGACGAATGGAATGCGTGTTGACTTACACTCCATGTTGAACAGATTTACTAGAACCCATTCGAAGGTAGATTTTAGTCAGTAATCTTTTTAAAAATACGTAGTACATGCGACTGTACTCCTTCCACAAATAACACGTCATGGCCATCATTGGCATTTGGCCAACCCTTTGAAACTTTAGCAAGCTTTCTGTTATATCACAAACCTCGAAAAAATTTTCCTTGCTTCTTATCTCCCGGTTTTTATTAAAAGCTCTTTTTCCCCTTTTTTTGATTAATTCCGTCACGCCCTCCTGACAGCTCCTCTCCCATCTATCAGAGCCTTAGCAACATCTGGTCATCGAAACGCCTCCTATTACCGTAGTAACATAGCCTTTGTAGTCTAGGTGGACTCATTGACCCCTCACTAACCCACAGCCTAGCAGGGCTGATGGCAATCCCCTCTCCTGAACTTGGCAGTGATCGGGTGCTCTTTGAATCACCGACACACTCTGGGGTAGGGGGACAGGGGAGTTATAACCAACCCCCTCCCCCTAACACCTAAACCTTCTCCCAAAATGGCCTTTTCCTACACAGTTAGCAGTTTACTGACCTTGACCTCAACAGCATACACCCCATCAACCTCTTCATCGCCACGTTTGTTTTTTTTTTTACACGGGCGGTAACGACCTTGACAGAACTAGGTATCATCGGGCTCGTGGTATTGGGGGCGAAGGAACTTCTAAGTAGACGAGATAGAAGGGCACTTGCACAAACCGAAGGGAGGGTTTGGTGTTATCTATGCCAGTAATTAACATGACCGCGTAGTTCATTCCAGGAAGTACGAAAAGTACAAATTTGGAAGTTTTGAAACGCCCAAAGAGAGTCCACTTAATCCAGCGCATGTGGCAGTCCAAATGAACCGAACCTAGGTGTCAGTGACAAACTTTTCTGATCTGTCAATCCATTTCCTTTGAAGTCTACGCGAATTAACTCGGCTGATGCACAAATTGTGGCCCTTGATGGCATCAGTATTTTTGCTATGCTGGAATTGGTCTTGCCCCATCAATGTCCGTAAAACTTTAGCACTTGAGGCCAAGAAAACACGATGGCGCACGCACTCAGCGTCCTCTGAGAAAATTATACAGAAATTTGCCCCAAACTCATCTAGGCAAAGGGAAAACATAAACACAAACCTGGAATGGACACGAACTTGACCGAGACAGAACTTGAATACATGATTGACAAAGTCTTTGATGGAATTGCTCGATACCGGTGAAGCTAGACCCATCTAGCAATCGCCCAGACGTATTCCATCGCCTCCGCTTAAAGAGATGATTTGAGACGAGGTTATGAAGCCGTCCAAGTCAGCATGGGCCTCTCCGATCGCGCTGGTAACGAAGAATGGCGGTAGTCTACGGCTATGCATCGACTGTAGGAAGTTGAACAAGGTAACCAAGACGGATGCGTTTCCCTTGCCCAACATTAGCGATTCGCTGGCCTCCTTGCGTGGGTCGATGTGGTTCTCCACCCTAGACAGGAAGTCGGGATATTGGCAAGTGGAAGCGGCAGAGGTAGACAAAGAAAAGACATCTTTATATTGTCATGTGGGCCTTATAAATTCCAAACGATGCCCTTTGAGCTCTGTAACTCAGCGACTACCTTCCAACGCCTGATTTAAACAGATCTGATCGGCCTGTTCCCAAAGCATGGCACAATGTACCATGATGACATTCTCGTTTTTGGTGGAGATATTCGAGGGCATAACGCCAACCTGAAACCTGTGTTGGATCGTCTACGAGACGTAGGGTTAACCTTGAACCCGAAGAAATGCCGTTTCCTGCAACGCTCGGTCACCTTCCTGGGACATACAGTCTCGTCAGATGGAATGGCAGTCACCGAAGACCGTGCACAACAAGTGAGGACATGGTCTACACTAACCAACCAGACGGAGCTCCGCAGTTTCATAGATTTGGCAAATTACTACCAAAAGGCAGGCGAAGAAGAATTTCAAGTGGGTGGAAGGCCTCATTCCACAACGATTGCACCCCTGCAACCCATGCCCACCGGCTTCACAGGGGAAAGAGTAGGGATAGACATTCGGGGGTCCTCAACCACCATGCGTAGGAGGAAACCGATGTATTCTGGTTATGGAAGACTACTTCACGAAAGCAGCTGAGGCGGAAACCATGAAATTACAAGGCACTTAAATGGTTGCTTCAGTTTTATTCAATCGGCGGGTTTTCCAGCATGGAGTACCTGAATCCATTCATAGCGATGAAGCCCCTAACTTCGAGAGCCAGATATCAAAGATACGCACAACACCTGGACATCCGCAAGGCAATGGACAGGTAGAAGGAAAGAATCGCACTCTGATCGGACTACTAAAGGCCTTCACTAAAGGTGTCCAACTGGATAACTGGGTTTATACGCCTGGGACGCGTCCTTCTCGCGTACAGGGCTACGGTCCATACGTCAACGGTGTTTCTCCGTTTCAGATGCTCACAGATTGTGGAATGAGAGTGCCTGCCAAGCGCAGAAGAAGCAGCCAACAATGTTCCAGAGTACATACTGCGCCTGAAAGAAGGCATAAAAAACCTTTTGACATCTCACGTAAATATTTACGACTGTCTTCTGCCAGGCAGGAGAAATAAAAGGGTCGACGGAGCAGGATGAACGTCTTACGAGGAGGAGACTTCGCGCAAATTTACAGTCCGATTCCCCCGCCTGAAATACACCGCAAGTTTCATCACCCATGAAGCAGAAACCCGTTTCCAGTTGTGAAAGCGTTCGCACATGCAAACGCACGACTGTGTACCCAGGGAATAACCGTTCAACACAACAAGATGCGACCCTACAAAGGAGCACCACCGGTTGGATGAAAAGATGAGATTTGCGTTTTAACGCGGGACAAGAAACCATCGGCTGACATCTGGAAGAAACTCATAAGCAGTAGCACCGGGCACGATGCTGAAAGAAAAAGGGGGCTGTGTAGTACTTATTTTGTTTAAATGTTACTCGTAGCTGAGAAGCGGTCAGAACCTAAAGCCAAAGAAAAGTCCCATGTCCAAATATTCCTAAAATTGTACCCATCCCCCATTTCCCCTAAGAAATAAACATGGCAAAAACAAATCACCCTGGGTGTTCTAAGCACATGAAAGCTAAGAAAGGGAAGATAAACGCGCCTCTTCCTACAGTAGAACCACTATTTCAATTTGGCTTATTTCAAAACAGCAAAAATTCGGGCCTCAAAACTGAGCAAAAAGATATCATTTTCCCCAATATAATAAAATGTATACGTATAATTCTAATAGAAAAGCTTAACAACAGATCAATTTAATCTTCTTTGAGACTTGTATGAGCAAAATGCATCAAAATTTTCTCGCAAAACATCGACTGTGCACAGATTCAGCATTACTTAGTTGATAAATCCTAGGGACATTTACTTTTAGTGTATGCTAGCAATTTAATTTTAGTTTTGATTTACTGTTCCTGCATAGATTTGCGCTGTTTAATATCGATATGAGTAACACTTATTTGAAGAGATTACGCGAAAGTTCCAATTCTGCATGCATATTTTTTAAAGCGATTTTGATTCTAAAATTTCTTAAGTGAATATGAATTTTAATTGTCCGAATTAAGTATTTTGCGTGAATAAGATGTCATTGTTTTAATAATTTTGTTTGAGTTTGTGTAGTTCTCGTCCTTCCTATTTGGTTAAAGTTCTCGAATAATGGGCGTGAAGTGCTTCTTCGACATCTCCATTGGCGGTAAGCCAGCGGGTCGCATCGTCTTTGCCGTGAGTTGTTTAGATTTGTTAACTTGTGTAGCTGTTTGATGACGTCCCAAAGACAGTAGAGAACTTCCGTGCACTGTGCACCGGTGAGAAGGGTTTCGGATACAAGGGCTCGAAGTTTCACCGAATTATTCCCGGTTTTATGTGCCAAGGTGGTGATTTTACTGCCGGGAATGGTACCGGTGGCAAGAGCATATACGGGAGCAAATTTGAGGATGAAAATTTCAATCACAAGCACAGCAAGCCGATGATGCTCTCGATGGCGAATGCGGGTAAGAACACCAATGGCTCGCAATTCTTCATCACTACCGCCGTCACCAGCTGGCTTGATGGGAAGCATGTTGTCTTTGGTGAGGTAGAAAGTGGCGAAGATGTTGTTAAGGATATGGAGGCCGTCGGTAGCAGTAGTGGCAAGACTTCCCAAGAAGTACTGATTACTGACTGCGGTCAGCTGTAAATCAACCGGCCGAACGTTCACTCTATTCCCTTTATTAATTGTATCGCGCTAATCCTGCTCCTCATTGCTTCTTTACCCGTTTGTGGCCGTAACGTGTTTCAACAATGAAGTCGTTGTGCGTATTTTGAATTGCGTCTCTTGTGGTCTGAAATAGCTTTTTTTGTTGGAACGGGGTTTAACGCACCGTGCAGGGTCATCTATCTTGTAGTCGTGTGTCTTGCTTTTTTGGGGTTCAGTTTCTGCCTCACGTATCCCCATGGTGTCGTTTTAGGTTCGTTGGTAGTCGTACCTCTAGTGGGCTCATGCAGTCGTTCTGTCGCTACTTGCTTCGGTTACTTGGCAATATGGCGGGATACGGGCTGATTGTCCTGAGGCTGCGGGTCTCTATCACCTAGGTGATGCGGGTTCTTTTATAGACACGTCTTCTGATGGCATATTTTGCCCGGCTTGTTTTTTTGCCACCCTGGAGCGGTTGCTTTGATGGTTGTTGTGTTGCTGGGGTGCTTGTGCGTTCTGGTCATGGTGGCGGGATGGGAAATTGTTTCGCTTCATGTGTGCACGACTGGTGGATTTGGTCATTGTCACCTTCAACAATCCAGTCTTCCTGTCCACCGGTGAGTCATGTCCCTGCCTTGTTAAGCACCGCGGTTGTTGACGCATCAGCTTGCCTGTGCCGGAGGATTAGTCACAAGCTGGTTGTGGCCTCGCCAGACCCTTCTTCAATGCAAACCTCGGGGTGATGCTTACCATTCAATGTGAGTTGATTGAAGTATCGGCAACTTTTTATCGCGGGGTCACAACCAAGTTGTGGAGGAAGTCGGTGCTCGTGATGGGCAATGGGTGAGGACTTAGAGGTTGACTCCAGTCTTGTGGGTTTGCAAAAGATAGTGAGATGATTTCAAGGATCCCTCGACTTACTTTCCTGTTTTCTGTATTATTTATTAAGGGACTAAACTAGCAGTCTCGATGCGGCGAGATTCATCACTGCAGCTGAATCACCCTGGCGCGCTGCTGTATGCGTGTGCTAGCTTTTTGACATCGTGAATACCCATGGCCTTGGTGGTGGTGCTGGTGTCAGTGAGGCAGGAGTCTCGTGCATATTTGCCGCACAAGAGATGATGCGTCTGTCGGGCCTCATGGACGCCATTCGAATGTTTATTCACTGGATGTAAACAGCTGTGGTGACGCATAGGGGACCAACGTGGCCGGAGTTGTTCCAGGTGTACAGAAGGTTGGCCATGCACACCACTCTTCCATTCAGACTCCAGGCTACCAGATACCACTTCTGAATAGTACATGGGGAAGGATGCTGTGGTTAGTCGAACCTGTGGAGGCTGACTACAAGACGGTCATCAAGACGACATAAATTTGACACACCTCCGAGTACATGTTTCTTTCACTTTATGTTGGCCTTGGGCAATTGCTGCCATGACAGGCGGTCGACGCGCAGGATGCGTCTCCTGCAGGAAATCCACCAAACCCTTTGCCCCTATTATCGGAATCAATCCCCCCTCCCCCTCCAGACAATTTGCATTGTAGATGAACACCAATGGAAGGGATCACGCAGATCCGCCCCATCGTCTGGTGGTTAATCGTAACCTGCAGATAGGATCAATGACGACCAAGACAGGACAGAGCCCACGAGCAGGGCTGGAAGCGACCCCCAGACGGAGAAACTGATAGAACGATGTTCAGATCACAGACACCGAGCGACTCCCCACCGTCTCCGTCATTGTCATGATGCCAGTCGCACTCATACCTACAGACGTCCTGCACGCCACTGGGACATCGTCTCCCCGTGTCCTTCAAAAGACACAGCTTCTCCGGTTTAGCCTCTGTTTTACTAAAGCTGACATCAGAGAAGAAGGAGAAAGAAACTTTTTCCAACCCAATCAATCGTTACAGAAGTCGGAGGAAAGGCGAATTTAGTGCATCGCGTTTAACACTTGCAAAAATCTCAAGTAAAACGAGGCTGAGGCAGAGTCACGACTTATTAGAGGCACTATCACTAGGGTTTGCCAACTCCTCCTTCACATTCTCCTCTGCCACCGGGGCCTTCACCTCCTCAACGTTAACACCGTTTGCTGAGTCGTACTCCCCACCTTGGCCTTCGGCATCAGCAGCAGCGGCATTTTCGACCCAAAGGCCAGAGGCAACGCATCGCTTCATACACTCCTCCGCCTCTTTCGGATCCATCTCCGTCAGTGTCTTCTTCAACAACTCAACGTCTCGAGTCTCGAAGCACTTTCTTAGGGGCTAAAAGGCGAACAAACAGGGGAGGGGTGGGATGAATGATTGAGCAGACATGACTGAGTAGATACGGACAAGTTGGGACTTGACACCTTCGCTCGGTGACAAGAAATGCGGCGTATTCGACCGTTGCCTGGTATTTTAAATGATGCTGTCAAGACTAATCTGGCTTGGCATGGAAGACGTGGAGGAACTAGAATTACCTATGTAACTGGTGCAGATGACAAGCACTGCTGCCTTTTAAGCAAGCGAGGACACAAACAGTCACAATTTAACCCTAATGTTCACCATAGTGGCGCAAGGGTTGTGTTTCCTCTCTCGACACGAAAGGAAATCAAGGCCTCAGACATGTGATGGTCCTTGCGGTCGTGCTGGAGGCGCGAGATTATGACACTAGGACTCAAAAGGCAATTGAAAATGGCCTACCTCGGGAAGGGTTTCTATGACCTCGTAGGGGTCCAATCCACCGGGGCCAAGACGTTTCTGCCGCTCCTCTTCCTCGTACTGCTGCATCGCCTCGGTCAGCCTGACTCGAGCACGATCACGAATACGTACTTTGAAGGCCGTCAGCTCCTCATCGAACATGCGCTGGTACTCCGGCTCTGCATTGATGAATCTGCGAGAGGATGGGCGGAAAAACACATTCGTGAATAATTGTACCCTCTTTAGGGCTTCAATGCTTGAATGCGTGAAACAAAGGAGTGACGACATTTTGGCAGTCGCATCAGGCACACTAGAGTATGCAACAAAGCGGCACATTCACCGAACCATCCCCAGAAGGGAACATTTGCCAGAAATCATTCTATCCAAACACGGGAGTTAGGAAATGTGGCATTTTGCCATTCCGCTCCTTCCTCGTTAGCAGAAACGATTCGGATGTGCAAAGCCTCTTACTGGCCTTCAGTAGCATTTCCTGAGGGAAAATTTAAAGCCGTCCAAGACAGCTTAAACAACTATTGCTACTAAAAAGGAATAAGTAGCAAGTTTTACTTTGTGACGAGAGGCTTATTCCTCACAATAAGCAAAATTAAAAAGAAGCAATTCAAAAGAAAACACGACCAGCCCTACACCTAGCCACAAACCCACCTGTGAGCTAGGCAAATACTTGGGGAAAAATCCAACAGTGACAATGAAAAGCGTCTCACTTGTTGAAGAAGGGTCGAATACAAGACCGTGGATCGCATTTAAGGGACTTGGCCAGTTCCAGCATGAACTGCATCACGATGCACTGGTGGGAGACGTGATCCAGCAGGCTGTACTTCTACCAACAGAACGGAAATACAGAGGAATGACTAAAGCTCTTTAAAAAAATATATTATTTACATTAATCGTAGCATCGTCTTACTATAAAGCACAGGTTTTAACATACAAGTGACAAGCACGTTCAACAGTGGTTGCAACGACTTGTGTATCGCGAAAGGAGTGGCTGAGATTAAAGGCAACAATAAATTTGATGTAGAATAATGTCCTCGGTGTGGGAGCGATTACACTTTTCCAGTTTTTGGACTCCATAAATGCAAAACGTCTTTCGTGGATTGTAATGACCGATTTTCCTCCGAGACACCAAGGCAGCGATTAGGGGTAGAAATAAATACCTACTGTTTTATTATTACGACAGTCTGAGTAGTTGTTAATAAACAATAACCGGAACGTAAGCAACATCCGCAATTAAGCTGGTACGTAACTACGTCAGTAGTATACCTTCGTGCATACTACTACGGCTTCTTACGACGCTAGGAGAAACTTCGGGTGCTATATTTGAGCTTTAAATATGCAGAAACGAGGCACAAACCTACTCATATTGTGTTTGAGCGCAAAACCAGAAGATAATTTCACATTGAGCTTAGAAGAACCGGTTTTAAGTTCACTCTCATTAATAGGGAGTCTGCCCAGTGGGAAAATCGACCACCACAACTCAGACACTGTTCATCAGACGTGACAGCAACATTTGTCAATCATTTTGGATAATTAAAGCGATACTACTCAAAACGGAAAAAATGTGACTATCATCAAGTAGCCAAAATTATCCAACATCTACTGTATTGTTTTACACTCAACCTTACACACTTCGGCGAGGCTAACGTGCGCAGTGACAAAAGGCACTTGCCACGTATTTGTGACGTTGGAAGGGGATGGGCTATAAGTACTTCGAGCAAGTCAAACTTGCCAAAACACACGAAGCATGATCCAGAAATAAACCTGATTGGTAAAAGACGCGTCCAAAAGTGCCAAAATTAATCAAAACAGACGCACCTCTTCCATGGCAAGATCAAGGCACCACAAGACGAGATGATTGGCAGTTTCATCACAAACCAGGTGAGGATTTTCAAGGAGGTATTGTCGGGAGTCAACTGGACGACTAAACATACCGAACTTCTTGATTTCGGCTTCATGTTTCTTAACAAAGTCCCTAAGTCGGTCCGCGGCCTCTTCATGAACATCATCATCATTGTCCTCGTCAACCTTCGGTTTCTCTTTCAAAGCCGCTTTGTTAATAAACTAAATTGACCACGAAAGTACCAATTATTACAAGACTATCAATGACACCACATTACAAGTCAAACTAATAAGATTTGTTGGTGAGATGAAGGCAATAACGTCAAACTTACCGTCCGAGACCGTCCCTCGTGGCTTATTGTGTCAACATTGAGAGGACGAAGCTAAAAATATTCGATATATGTACTTGCAGATCATACCCTTTCTTTTTTGTTCATTGCCTTCTCCTTCTCCTGCCATTCTTTGTCGGCTACCTCCAGTTTCCTTAAATTATCCTCCAATTCTTTCACATTAGGTGCATTACTCTGCAAAAAATGAAAAGTGAGCTGCAACATACCTTGATTCCCTCATCGTATAGTGATCGAGCCTTCTGTAGGGCTTCAATATGCTCCTTCTTTCCCTTTTCAAACTTTTCTTTTTCTTCTTTCCATTCACGGTCACGGTTAAGACGAGCTTCGTGACGCCAACGGAACAGGCTAGCAGTATCTATGTTAGGGTGGGTGTCATCTTCATCATCTGAGACCTGAAGCCGAGTCACAGAGACCAAAGGCATACCTCAATGTGGTCCCATTTACTATAATCCATAAGTCTACTAGGAGCGGTTAAAGGTTCGCACAATCGAATGAACACACTTAAACAAAGTAGGATAATTATTTCAGCGCAAGCGCACTTACCCTGTTCACATGTAGAAACCTAGTTAAATGACGTCACAAAGATAGTTATTTAACTAAAAATTTAGTGGGAAATAGGTACTTGTCTAATAAGAGTTGAAATAATATAATAGTTTTCGAAATCCGTGAGAGCTATATTCAGAAAAAAATGCACTAAATAAAGCAATTTTTAACTGTGCAAAAGAGATTGCCCTTGCATTAACCATAATTTACCCATTTTTTAAAACGCATTGGTGCTTTGTTAATTATAGAGTGTTGTTTAGTTAAATTTTTCGGCACTATCTTCAATTGAGTGTTTACTGCTAGGTGGTCAAATGCGTAACAACAAGTTAAGCTGTGATTGCTGACAAGTGTTACGAAATAGTGAGCGTATTTCCGTCTTCTCCCTGTGCAAATGCCGGTAAAAGGGCAAATATTAGACCTTCTCAAAGTTGGCTATTAGTGCTAGTCAATAGGCTAGAGCAAACCAATGCACAAAACGGGTTTTTTGACTTTTGCATAAGATTTGGTATGCAGTGCACCGAGGCGTGATGGTCACTTAGCGGTTTTCTCTGAAGCTCATTGTGAACAACAAACAGCAGAAAAATCCTTATTTTCTTTTTAAAAATTATGATTTTTTATTTTTAGCTGATTTTTGTAGTTTTAATGTGCATGCTTTCTAAAATGTTTTTTGGACTACTTTATACTGCTTCTTGTTTGTATGCTTTTATCAATCCCGATGTGGTTTCGGTTTTGGTGAACTCAGCCATCTTCGACTTTGGGAAGGTTGGTTTGTTTTTGATTTCTAAATTTTGTTTCCATACTTTGAGTTACTGGCATTGTCTGGAGATGATTCTATTCATTTGCTTTAACGGGTTTAATGGCAATTGTTGTTGGGATATGTCTACTGAAATAAATTAGTAGACGCCTGCTGCAAATTAAGTAGTCGCATGCCTGTTAAAGCGTTCACTCCAGTTGGCTTCCTACTGGGTGGTTTATGCTTCGAACAGGATTTGTTAGCCGTCTTAACCTTTTTTGGGATTCTTTCCTACTTTTTTAATGAGGCGTTTATCTTCCTGCCATTCATTCGACTACTGCTTCTTTGGTAACTTGGGTTGAAGTTCGAACATTGCTGTAGATATTGCTGTTGCCGCCGTTTCAGTCCCTACAAAATCATTCTTAGTTAAGGCAGCATTGTGAGTATTGAATTTTATCTTTGTTCTATGCAATTTTAACCACGACGTAATTGCAATGCGTTTTATCGCGTTGGGTCCTAATCATTTTGGTTTCTTATGTGTTAGTGACTGAAATCTCGATGAATAGGGCCTCTGTGGTCTTTTTTAGTTCTTTACTAATGGACTCAGTGTCAACAAAGCCGGAAGCCACGGATGAAGACCAATCCTCAATAACCCCATCAACCTCTCGAAGGCGTCGCAGTCGCGCACCTTCTTCTGCCCCAAAAAGCACTCCAAAGCGTCCACGAACCACTCCATCTACAAAATCGCCACGCGGTGGAAAGGGTGGCAGGAGTCGTGGAGGTACTGCTCGAACGAAAGCCGCGAAATCCGCCGTTGGTGCTGATGAAGCTGATGCCACAGAAGACTTCACAGCTCTGGCTGCTAGCGCTCTAGACTATGCGGAAGACTCCTCCTCGCAGGAAGACGATGAAAATGACGACGATGATGACGATGGTGGCAGTGACTACGTCCCCGACGCTGCTGAGGCCGATCACAATGAAGAAGACGAGTTTGAGGAAATGGATGTGGACGTCTCGAGGACTCCTCGTAGGCGTCGTGGTCGGAGGTCAAACGCTGCCACTTCAAGCGTACAAAACCACGATGATGATTTCGATATCAGTGATTATGAAGATGATGACGATGGGATGCAGGAGAGTCGCGTCAGTCTAATGAATGAGGTGTCTGCAATGCAGGACTCAAATAGACACGATGAACCCCTGGGACTCTTCTCCGACATGGTTGCTGCATCTGGGTTGGTTGGTAATTCTACTGGTGGCAACGATGATAAAGACATCTACGACTTTGATGCGCAGAGTATGGCCTCGGATAAGCGTTTTCGCAAGATGCGACAATCGGCCGCGGCTAGACAGAATCGCAAATCTGGTGGCGGTGGTGGTGGAGGAGGCGCTTCCCGTTCCCGACCTGCTAATCGACCTGCCACTCAAGTGGGTGCCAGTTGGGGTTCGAATATTTACAGTGCCCTAGCAACTTCTCTCAAAACCCGTGGTGATCTTGACGCCTACACGAACTTTTTGAAGTGCCCATATCTAAACAGTTGCATGGATTCTATGTTTGTTGACATGTGCCGACCCAGTAATCAGCACATGGGCCTATTCTTCGGTCCCTCTGCAAGTTTGCAAAGCCTCATGGGTCGTGTTAATGATCCAGACAAGGTGGTTGAGCTTTTGCATGCATTTATGTCTAAGTCATACGATACCTTGGCGAATAGAATTCTGTGGTTTGCACCCATCATTCACCAGCAACCGGTTCCACTCTCAAACATGTGCGCCTTTGCGGACAGACTTACCACTTTGTCTAGGAGTCTAGACCCCGATATGACAATTGAGCCGGCGTATATTCTCGAAGGTGATCTCAACGTTCTTGTTCAAACTGGTGCGCCTTTTACTGATCTTGAAGTTTCATTGATCCAGCAAACCGCTATAAATAGTGCCGGTCACATGGGTCGCTTTATGACAGATGTGCATCAAATTATCCTCTCCAACGACTTTTGGGATCAGTTGAATGACCTTGTCGCTCTACCTTATGAGAAGATTATTAGCTACGCGGAGAGAGGTAACGCAACCGCTGAAGGTGATGCCTCAGTGAATCTTGAAGCCATTGAGCCACCATGCCTCCACCGCATCATCGCAGCTGTAAACAGTGAGAATAAATTGTTGGGAATAGCCCTCACTGACACCTGGGATCTTAATAAGGTTCCACTGTCTCGAAAACGCCGAAGCCTGAACTTCGAGAACCTCCAAAGGGGTCCTCTTCAACTCACCAAGACTGATCGGTCATCTTCTGTCACTGAAGAACTTCCCATTGAACTGGACACCTATGGGGTGTTGGAACAGATTTTAGATGATGTTGCTGTTTTGAGAACTCTTGAAGACGAGTCGGCTGAGGCCACGACCATTCGCACTTCGCCTCAAATAGGTCGCATTCACTTGATGGACTGTTTCCTGCTCAAACCCAATAGTCGGAAGGATGCTCTTATCTTAGTCTGTTACGAGGCTAGTGCTAGCCCACCTATGCCGAATCCCAGTCCACCCGGTTCTAGCCCATTCAAGGTATACTCCCTCGTTAGTGAGGAGAATTTCTTCTTTTCTCGGTTCGGCATCACATCCGATTCCCCAGCTCTCATGGACGGTATGTTCACCGCTGACCCTGAAGCCCTGATTGAACGTAAAGCTGTGGCTGTTCTGCCTGATTTAGTGTTCAACAATCTTCGTTCCATTGCTCTTCGTGAAGTAGTCGCTTCAAGCGGTACCGCGATTGTGAATGCGGTGCTTACAAACATAAGCACCGATGCAGAGACACCAAGCATCTATCGCTGCTCCAAATTCATCCTCGTCGATAGCCAACGTCGCGTTCCACTGGCGATCGTTTTTGAGGTCCCTATCCGTCTCTCCTGGATAATCGATGCTAACGAATGTTCTGTTCGACCTCTCGACACCTCTGCTCTCAACACCGAGTTTACCTCCGTCACTGCAGACACTCTGTCTGCCGTGGAGGGCAAATTCTCTCCCAACATTACAGAGTGTCGTCTCGTAGTTATTAACGGGCTGCTCTACTCTCTCCAGGTGGATGAGAATCGAGTTCTTCAGCGAATTGTAGAGTTAATTCCAGCTGGATATGGCAATCCGACTGGTCATCCAGATCATGCTGCCTTGGCGCCCCAAGCCGTCACTGGAGATGCTCGAGCCTCCTCTGCCTTCCTCCGCATTTTCAATGAAGAAAGCTCGACCTCTTCCGTCTTTCCGATGATCTACCTTCCACACTTCGGCCAACAGACACTTGTGAACCAGGTGGCCGGCTTCTGTGATGAGTTGGTGGACCACATATACACCAGTCCTGTTTCCTTCTCTCTCTACGACGTTGTCTTCCGCATGGCCATCAAGCACACACCTAAAATGCTGGCCAGACAGCATCGTGAGGCTGCTGAGGCAGCGGCGGCAGCGTCGGCCGAAGCGAATCCCAACGACCCGCCTCCTCCACCCGTTCCTATGCCTGAGCATTGGGGCGTGTGTTCAATCTGCTCGAAGGAATTACACTCCGTTAGCGGTTTGTTGGAACACGAGCTTCGGCATATTGGATTGACTAAGTTCCGTTGTCCAGAACACGCTAGGTGTTTCATGGATAGAAGGGCTCTGCTCAACCACATGCAGGAGCACACCGACAGTTCATTGAAGCCCGATGACGAGGGTGGTGGTGAAGACGGGGGTGCTAATGACGTCGCAATAGGTGAAGAAGACATTAAGTTTTTCCCCGGTTTAACTAACGTCTTTGCCAGGAGCTCCCTTCTCTCTTGTCGTATGGAGTCGCCTCAGTGTGAGGGATGTCGTGACTACTTCCCAACTGCTGACGTGATGGCGCAGCATCTGGAAATTTGTGATGGCATCTCCTTCAGTACCCGCAGCCCTCTTGAACAGGCACCTGGTATCACTTTAGGCAACGCTAGCGACAGATCCGTCTGTGGTATCTGCGGTCAGGCAGTGGATGAAATCAAGCAACATTTCACTGATGTTCATCTCACCTGTCTCCTGTGTCGTGCTCAGTTGCATACCATCGAAGAACTCTCCTACCACTACAAAGTCCATGTGGAAGACAACGCCTCCGAGGATTCGGGTAGGCTGAGTGAAGTCTCTACCTGTGAGACGTGTCTCAACTTCTACAGCTCTAAACACAACTATTACTTTCACCAGTGGGCAGAACACGGGGTTATTTTCAAACAGGATCCCACCACTGGTATGCTAGGTCCGGTCCAAGTTAGAGAACCTCGTATCCGAGCTTGTGACGAAGAAGCTCTGACAACCAAGTTAAAGTGCAAGTTCTGCCAATTTGTCTGCCCCTGTTCAGGTAAGCAGTACGTGGATCACCTTCAGTCCGCGCACGATATCACCTCTGATGTGGCCCTCGTGTGCCGTTTCTGTGCGGAAATATTTGGGAATCTGGACGAGCTTTCCAATCACCTTCAAGCGAATCATGCTCCACTCTCCGAGTACAACAATGCTGGGCCGCAGACAGTCTACCGATGCGATATGTGCACTGAGACACCCTTTTTTGCGTTCCATAAAGGAATGCTGGATCACGCTCGGGAGGTCCATAACAACCTCACACCCAACATGTACGAGTGTCCACACTGTCGGGAGAGGTTTTCTGATCGTCGTGCACATCGATTGCATGTGGAGAAACACGCTGAGGGAGTGCTTCATCCCTGCACGGAGTGTGGGAAGGAATTTCGTTCAAAACAGGCTCTGATGCATCACATCCAGATGCGCCATGACACCTCGGAATGGGAGCAGGGACCCGCCACTTGTGAACACTGCGGGATCACTTACCCCAAACGCTCTGCGCTCAAGTATCACATTGCTCGAATGCATAATCTCGTGAGTGCTTGACACTCTCCATAACCTTCTCATCGATCGTATCTTTTTAAACGGAATTTTTTTCCTTCTCTTTTGGACGCAATAGGAACTTCTGCACGAGTGCCCCGTGTGTCAGCAGCGCTTCCGCATCGAGACGTACCTGCGACGTCATATGAAGGAGACGCACAGTGGACCCATCAAGTGTGAAATTTGCCAGAAGCAGTGCGCCAACCTGCGTTGCTACTCGCAACATCGGCAGAAGCACTTCAGGGATAAGATCTTCCAATGCACTGAATGTTCGGTCTCCTTTAAGAGCAAGACCGCCATGCGTCGACATGTTCGAGTGGAGCATATGCAGCTGGGTCCGGAGAAGTTTGAATGTCAAATCTGCGGCAAGGTGAGCTCCACTCTCTCTCTCTCGCCTTGTATTTGCGCAAAATGTCATCACATTTTTTCCGTGTAGATTGTCACACAAATCGGAATGCACATGCTGACGCATAAGGACGCGCGTTTCAAGTGCATCTACTGCGACAAGCAGTTCACCAAGTCGGTATACTACAACGAACATGTGCGCATTCACTTGGGCCAGCTGCCCTTCGAGTGCCATATCTGCGGGCGTCGATTCAACAAGAAGTCCAATCTCAATGTACACCTCAAGTTCCACGAGAAGCATCGCGATGAGGATGGCAACGTAAGTTGGGGAGATTGGGCATTAAAGTCTCCTGAACTTATGCGTGGAACTCTTGATTCTACCAACCCTGTTCTTGACCTTGCAGTACCTGCAACTGAAGGCGCGCGGTCGTGTGAGCATTATGTTTGGCGATGCGAGTCTGACACCGGAGGAGCGGGCGGCGAAGAACGCGGCGCTGAAGAACAAATCAAACAAGCCGACGCAAACTGTGGCGGTGGGTCCTGACTTGCCGGGTGCTTTCAACGTCGGTGGAGCGGCGGGTGCTGCGTCCGACGCCTGCGCAAGGGCCTGCGGTGGGCACCTCACCGATGTTGTTGGCCTTCGACCTCTTAATTCCAGCATTCTTCCCCATCATCCCCACTTGGCTTCTGCCTCCAACTCCAATTCCATAACGATCACCAACACGACCAATGGCGAGGAGACGAAACCTGCCTTTCTTTGATGGAGATAGACCTTTTCTACACGATCACTTGTGAACCATGTAGTCTAGTGGGCGCTTGTCTGTGTAAATAGGATACCTGCCAAACCTTGCTACCGTCCAACCATCCACCCACTCACCCATCCATCAACCCTAGCAATTAATGGACTCCCCCTTCCCTTCAGCAATGCTTCTTCCTGCACTGACGATGATGATTAGTCGATTTCCTTGCTCTTTCTCACCTTGTCACTGTGTGTGTTTAAACGCAAATATAATTTCTCTTGTCTACCTCTCCAATCTCCTTTTTATTCCCCTGTGGGTGTTGTGCTACAGCGTCGAGTTCCTCCATCCCTGTGACTTGAGTTGGCATCGGCAGTGCTTTTGTTGGCGCTGCATTTTGCTCGATTCGACATCACTTCTGGGCGAGAGGGAAGTCTTCAGCGGGTCTGTCGTTCTCGAATCAAATGTTGGTGGAGATTTTAAGCAAGAAGTTGGTGGATGAACCGCTGTGGGATCGTCGATCTTCCCCTCCCCCCTACCCAGGGCTTTTGGTATCCACGCATTAGGCGAGGCCAGGTAGCCTTGCGATTGTCCGTGCTGTTGTGGTGGGTCACTTCGTCAAAACCGGATTTAATTAGCATCGTCAAATGTCCTACCGTTGAGCTTCGGCTTGTCACCACCGTAACCGTGGCGGTGACAAGTCTCCTGTAGATAGGCGAAGCTGATCGCGGATCCGGGTCCCGCGTCTTCACTCACAAGGAAGCCCCGTCCATCATCGCTTGCTGTTCCATTCGTGAGCTCACCACCACTGCTATGAAACCGGAGATATTCACACGGAAACCATCACTTACGAATAGAGACGACTATGGCTAGGCGACGAGCTGATCTTTTGACTATTTGACTGCCTAATTTGGTGGGGGGACGAGCCCTCGCGTCGGGGACTAGCATGCCGAGATTACGGGAATCAAAGAGGCCAAACGACCGCATCTATCACCATAGACGAGTACATGAGAAAGGTTTCATGTCGAATCCTCCTTTATTGCCACATTTTTAAAAAAAATTGTACAACTTATCCCTTTTGAATAAATTAATTAAACCCCCTTATTTCCAGAAATTGTGAAATTTGGACGGCAGGCTCTAATTGAATAGTCCAGGCCTTAAAAAATCGTGTTCAATTTTTATAACAAAAAAAACCTTAATCCACTCCTCCGTTGGGGCAGCCTTCAAGCCCAAAAAATTGTACTGCTCGATGTCTTAGAAGTTGCCATGCTCGTGGCTAATCGCGCGCTCTCACTCCCCCTGATTGGTTAAGATTACGTCCAGTTGTGCTTTAGGGTTGCCAATAGCCACGCTACATCCAAGGTCACTTGCGTGAGTGAAAGGATTGAGTGACTCACACGCAGCCAGCTGTGCTCGTACGCGCGCACCGCGTGCTCCCTCCGTGCTGACTCTATTCTGTTCTGACGTCATTATTTACTGATTATTGGGGTGGAAGCACGATGGAGACCAGGGCACTAGCACGCATAGGCTCCAGCTTGTAGCACTCCCCTTTCCTTGTGTCGATTCAGGGCACATCAGCGGTAAGCATTAAGAGTGGGCATGGTGGGAAACATGGCCCCGTTTCTAACCCCCCCCCCTGATGCAACCCATCTTAATGCGGGTGATACTCCGAAATTCTGACCAGACGCAGCATCTACTACTAACAAAATTAGTAAGTAGCATTTCATCTGCTTTGGAAGTTCATCTCGCTGCAAATACGTAAATTATGCAAAGACTCAGTATGTGCGGAGCAGAAATGTGAGCACGACGGGGAAACGAGATGGACATTCAAAGGGAGAAATAGGACATGAATTGAGTCGATTAAGGGGAGGGCTATTCGGTCCTTCTGGCGGGTACTGTTTACAGTCACGCCTGAGCAAGCTATTCTACAGGGGTATGCCCAGTCGTCATGGCTTTGGGGGGACTTGGGATGCCGTAGCAGATTAAACAGCCAGGAATGATAGTAATCTTTGTGATAGGTAATGTGACAGTTGACCTTTAGTGCAGGTCTAATGGCTCAACTCTGCAGGGCCTTACGAGTGCCATCTACTGAGTGGTCGACTTCCTGGTAGCGTACATACTTAAGGGTAAGCAACTATGGTAGTGAGTCGA